TCCTGGGTGCCAGGCGTGTTGGAGCCATGGTTAAATTATCTCCATTCCATTCAGGCAGATTGTCAACTGTAAATTTTATGGAAAATAGTAAAGCTGATAAATAAACATGCCTCTTTTGTCAGGGATGAATATTGCTGCTGCTCAGATTTACAGCTCGCATCTCCCCTACATCATAGAGCCTTTCTGAAAGTGCTGTCACAGCTTCTCTGGTGTGCTGCTGAGGTGGGTTGGTTCCCTCTCATTTAAACAGCAGCATGGATGTTGTGTGGGGTTTAATTTGGGAGGAAGGGGAGCCCCATCGCTCTGACCTGGGCCCCCCCCAGCAGCATGTGCCTCACTGAGGTCACTGCTCGGAACCCCCTGAATTCACCCCAAAGGGGCATTCACTACCTTTTGCCAGCCTGAGCTGCTCTTTAGCATCATGTCCTCCAGCATCATCTCCTCCAGGGCCTGCTGAAAACAAAACCCACTTGGAATGGGGGAAAAGCAGGGAATTTTGGTGCAGACGCTGTTGCTATGGCAACGCAGGGAAACCCATCCAGCCCAGGAGGGAGGATGCTGGATGATGCAGCCTCTACCGACGCAGGACCAGGGCGGCAGGAAAACACTCCCGAGGATGAGACACTGCAGAAAATAGATGGGTTTTAGTGCAGGAAGATGGGAAGGGGGGGTCAGGGTCATCCCCAGCCCCACGCTGGGGCTGTGTGAGCTGCCTGCTCCCACCCAGGGATGCTCAGGGCTCACTGGGGCTGAGACAAGCGTTAAGATTCGCTGCTTTTAGAACCCATCATGGAAACACTGAGCATTGCTTGCCCTACCTGCACATGTCAGTGCTTCCAATGAGCCAGGCTAATGACATTACAGAGGCAGGCTATTAAATGTCAAGAGCTTTGCATGTGAAAATGATGCAGAAAGGATGGTTGGCTTCTCGTGCCGGGGTGGTGGGGATGTAAGTTGTATTACTGCGTGCCAGTCCCATGTGGTAAAAATATAGCCTGGAATTTAATAAACAAATAGGAAATAAACCATCAACCTTCAGCTTCTGCTTGCAGCAGCCACTGCATTAGCTGGGATGGAGGCGAAGGCACGGACCCTCATCATGTGGGGTGCATGTGTCTGCGTGTGCAGCCAGATGTGCAGCACACACTTACAGGGAGTGAATGATTTCCAATCCCTCTGTGTCACTGCAAATTCAAATCAGAATAAACGGTTCCAGTGAAATAAAGGCATTAAGGGTCAGTGAGCCTTAAAGCCACAGTGCAGGGATAAATAAAGGAGGTAAGGTGATAGTGCTGGAGCTGCCTCGGCCCTTTTGCTCTCTGCTCTGAAGGCATTTGTGGAGGTGATGCCCCCTGGGCTGTGCA